TTGGGGGGGGGGTGGTAGGTTTTTTCAGGTGGCAGCCCTGCGTTTTTAATCCTGGTTGTGGTTCCTATGTGGGATAATATGGGGATTTTTGGTGGGGAAACCTGCGGGATCGTGGGTAATATTATGTGGTAAATCCAGGGGAATATCCTGGGAATCCTGGGTTGCGATCGTGGGAAATTCTGTTGGAAATGTTTGGTGGAGGATTCTGCTGGATCTGGGTAGGGAATCCTTGGTGGGGATCCTAGGAAATCTGTGGCGAATACTAGGATGGTCATGAGGAGTCCTGGTAAATCCGGGAATCCTGCAGGGGGTTATAGGGGATCCTAGAGGTGATGGTCTTCGGGGATCCTGCCGTGGTCCTAGAGGGACACTGGGTGTGGTCCTGGGGATCATCGGGGAATCTGCTAGACACGTTCTGTGCCACACGATGTCTGCGACACCAAGTCTACACGAATAGGTCTCTCCATCACACGTTCTGCCTCAACGGCTCTCTGCCGGACACAGCCCGTGCTTCTGCTTGACTCGGTGTCTGCCACACATGGTCTCTGTTTGACTGGGTCTGTGCCTCAATCGTCTCTGCACTGCACGTTCTGTCACACACCGTCTGTTTGACTCGTCAGTGACTGGTTCTGGTACAATTCGCGTAGGGAGACTTTGGAAATATCGGAAAATGCTGCTAATTGTCTAAAATGCGCAAAAAACGAAAGATTTCCGAGATAATTAAAACTTTTTTGAGATTTCGAAGATTTTGAAAACATTCGAAAATTTTCAAAAATCTCCCCACCACATGCGTGGCAGAACCGGTCTCTGTCGGACTCTCATATGTACTGTTTCTGACGAACGCTGTCTGTGCCTGATACGATCTCTGCACTAACCGGTCTCTGTGTGACACGGTCTCTGACGTGTAGACTCTGCACACGATGGGTGCAGCAGACACCACGGAAGGCAGAGACGGGGATCGACAGAGAACGCGTGAGTCAGCGATCGAGTCCTTCTTGCCGGGCCTCTGGCACGCCAGGTATCTCTCAAGCCAGGTCACTAACAGGCACGACAGTCACTTGCGTGCCGGGTCCCCGGTAATCGGCGGGCTGTCTACCCCATGTACACCCTTGCCACATTCACAAGGGATGCAGTATATGCCTGGGACCTCCAGATCCAGGGCATCTTTTAGTGGTCTCAACAGGTGCACAGTTCATATGTTGATTCTAAACAGCAGATCGCTAATGCTGTCAGAGGGGCCTTCCATAAAGTGTATAGTTACCATCCTAGCCAGCATTACAAATTTATTTTTGAAATATACAATTTGCTGTGTTTAGATGCACTCATGACTTGCTACTGGTTTCAAATTCCACACATGAGCTGTGAGTTTCTCTCAAATAGCTAGTGCTTCTGGTACTGTAGTTCCACTTGGACCTTCAAAATGAAATCTGTAATAACAAATAGATTACAAATTCAGCTACGTACTGACTTTCACAGTTAAGCGAAATTATATAAATTAAAATTAGTTGGTTGCAGGATGGACAACCAAAGAAACATTCCTATCGGAGAAAGAACTTTCCTTCACCTTCTCATCTTGACCATCCTTGGGGTTGACCAAGCTTCACTACCGATGATGTTTGTAGTCACGGATGTTAAAGCAGAACGATGCGCCAATCTTGCATTTCGTCACTGCTTAAAGAAAAGTGAACGTGAAGCAATAAAGGCCTCAGTCAACAGTATTTCAATGGTTCAAAGAATTCAAAGGTTGGGAGTCATTCAAGAAACTTGGTGGGCCAGGAGCTTCTTCAACTGCGATTAATGATGTGACCACGAACACCACCTTTGGTACAGTGCGCGAAGATCGATCACTTGCCATTACAGAGTTGACTGATATGCTCAACATATCCACACGGAGTGTATACACTATCATGAAGGATCGTTTGATCATGTCTCATACGTGTGCAAGAGGGGTTCTTTGAGTTCTTATACCCACTGAGTTGAAGGCTGCCAGCTGTGGAAATTTTGCATTGAAGAACAGGGAAACAAGTGGTTACAAAACATCATAACAGGTGATTAAACATGGATTGGGCTGTATGATCCTTCGAGTAAGCAGCGAAGCACCCAGGCTAACTACGACCTAAAGAAGCTCGTGTCTCTCAATCAGCAGTTACAGTTATAGTGACATTGTTTCTTGATCATTGTGTAATCAGTTACGTGCACACACTACCACCTAAAACAACTGTAACCTTGTGGCTTCTTTTTTTGATCCTTACACTAAAAAAAGGCATCTTCGAGGACAGCACTTACAGACCACAGATGCCGCAGTCGAAGATATGGAGGCGACTTTAAAGATGTCCAAAAATGGCTCTGATGCGTGGCAAGAACACTGGGATGAATGTACTGAGATCAGAGGAGCCTCTTTTGAAACAGAATGCACTTGTACTGATTCAGAATAAAGGAGTTAATTCTCAGTGTTTACAGAACAGCCCTCATATAATGGCATGGGCGATGCTTAACCTTTTTGTCAATAGAATCAGAGATGCCTATAAACACATTTAAAGTCACTTGTAAACTCATCCACAAATTAAAAATTGGTTAATGTGGCACTGTACTTTTTGTAAGAGGAAAAATATGGGATGACAAATCACAGTCAATCTTGAGGTATTTCTTAAAAAAAATTGCAGGTATGAAAAATAAAAAATAATCCTACATTCAAGATGTATAAGATGGCTGTAACACCATGTAAGCAGATTCCAAAATTTTGGAGAAAGACAATGTCTCCATCTTCTCAGCAACTGCCAGAGATCATCCAAAGTGTGGCACAGGAACCAAACAACATCCAACAGAAGACTGTTACAAGAGTTTTGACAAGTGGCAGGACAACTATAATTACCGAGTTCCTGTGGGAAGACATTACCCTGATTATAAGATAAGTAGTACTGATTAGCTTTGGAATGATTTTTGCAAACTAACACCAATAGTAATAAGGTATGCAAAACAGCAAAGAATACATTTAGAAAACACGTTAATTCGAAATTGGTGAACGGCTTCCTGCTCTTGTTTGTGTCTGAACTTTGTTTCTGAAAGACAATCAAAATTCTTCCAACTGCTACTTCATATGTACATGATATGACCATACTTACTGAAAGTTGTAAGTTTCTGGCGTCTTTTCCAGATTGAATTCTGCGACGGGGATTCCTCGCCGAGCTACCGTAGGCGCAAACATTGCGGCTGGATATACTACGGACGACGTGCCGATGACGAGGCATATGTCACAGCTCTCCAGTGCTTCGTCTGCGAACGATATATCTTAAACGTCATTATAGCCGAAATTGGATGTTTCAGTCTTCGTGAGTCAGAACTTAACCAATCTTACGCCCCAAATTTCTAAATCTTTTGATGATCTGGCTGAGTATCCTCTCTCTCACTCACATTACAGTATGCCTGGCTGTTGATCACATCAAAAAATTTCCCATATCCCTTCCATAGCACGTACCATTTAGCACTGAATCCAAAGTATTTTCATTATATTTTAAAGTTTTCATCAACGGACAGCATTAATTCTTCCCAAACCCACTGGAATAGGCAACTGCAAATGCGTAACATGTAGGAC